GTGTGTGTGTGTGTGTGTGTGTGTGTGTGTGTGTGTGTGTATGTATGTGTGTGGGTGTATTTGTGCGTATATGATTGTGTGTGATTGTGTGTGAGTATGTGTACATACAATAGCGAATCGCACCCTCCATGCCCGTAAAACACCCGTGCGCCTCTTCTCCGTGTACCCCGCTCAGCTCACCCCGCCATGTCCTACCCTGGGACATCTATGTGACGTGACGTGTCCCCAATCCCACGTCTCTACTCTCTACTCACTCCCCACTCCCCACTCCCCCACTCACCTCCTCTCCCCCTCTCCCGTCCACCCTTGGACATCTCTGTGACGTGTTCCCGACCCCTCGTCTCTCTACCCTCTTCTCACTCCCCACACACCACTCCCCACTCACCACTCCCTCTGTGAGCTCACGGTACGTGCCGATACCCTGCCCCACACGCGCGCTCTTACGCCGATAAAATAAGAATTAAGCAAAAACGGATAGTTCGGCTCTCTTCTTGTGTACACCTCTGGGTGGTGACATTTTTACGTTCGGACGCATTTTGGATATCTTTTGTGTCTGCGAGTTCCGTTTTGACACATCTTGGATATCTTTTATTGTCAGTGATTTGATTTACCTCGGACCTGCCTTTGTGAAAAGTTCTGTGTGTTGTTATTGTGGTTTCTCTCATTTCAGATATTTTCTATTGTATTTTTTTTTCCTGTTTGCTTTTTTAATTTACTATGGACGTATTTTTGTGTATATTGCAGGGCACTGATATGATGTTCTGGCAATTTTAAGAATATTGTTTGTGATTTGATTTACTCCCGACTTATTTCAATTCTGTGTATTGTGATGGATTCTTATAAAGTATTTATTGTCTTTTGACACTCTTTGGATTATTAGTTACACGTTTATGTACTCCGGATATCTCAATGTAAAGTGCTGAGTGGTGTTTCTGGGTTTTGACTCTTTTTAGGAATATGGGGCTTTATTAATTAAGTAATTTCTCTAACATACGAAGATACTTTTTTCAGTTGTATAAGATGACCGTAGAATTTGATGACACTTCGTCTGTTGAAAAGTAGTTGTACCGATAAAAGAAAAACACTATTATTTTCCTGAATCTTTTACACGCTATCCGCGGTTATAACAATAATGCTGACATAGCGTTTTTTTAAACAATTGGTTTTATTTATTTTAGTAAGTGAATAAGGTCATATAAGTGCCGAATAATAGAGGTGTTACAAGAGAGTAACATACACAAAAAAGAAAGAGGGGATATGAAGACGATAGTTGTTTGATAGGAAAGAAGAAGCAAACCACACCAGAGCCCCCGCCACCCTCCCACCCCTCTGGTTTGGTTTACATAATACGAAAGTGTTGAATTTTATGAATAAGAAACTGACGAGAACAAGTTAGAGACATTGTCTGGTTTCACTGTGTTAGTTGATTGTTTTCTACTTTTGATTTCCCCAGGATTTGGAGTACGAATCGTATTGTTGAGAAACAACATTCTGTGAGGAGAGCAGCAGTTTCATCTTGACTACAAGGATGCGAAGTTGGATTTAGCTATGTGACCTTTCTTGTTCCGGACCTGTGGAAAGTTTGAACTCTTTTTTTCCCTCATCGTTGTTATCACAAAGGATTTAATCATTGCTCAACACGGTAAGTGTTAAGTCCTAGTGGTGTATGTGTGGTCTGTTTTGTGGTTGCTGTTGTTGTTGTTTGTTATTGTTGTTTTTTTGTTGTTGTTTGTTATTGTTATTGTTGCTGCTGTTATTATTATTGTTCTTTTTGTTGTTTCGTTTGTTTGGTTTTTTTTGGGTAGTCATTTATTTGCTTCTC